ACATTTATGTGTGAGGCCCTGTCCTAAGTATTGTATGTTTCTTAACGAGAGAGCCAACAAAATGCTGTGAAGCCAGCAGAGTGCTTAACCCTATCTTTGCTTGTGAATAAAGTAAGGGTGTAAGGGCAGCTTTCTGATGAACAGAATCAAACTTGAGGCTGGTGGTTGTCTGCCTCAGTCTTGTGTCTGTAAGACATGAGAGGTGAGTGGAGGACCTGGTTTATTTCTGACGCAAGTGAATCTCAAGATGGTGGAAGGTTCTGGGCAGAGGGTCGGGTGTTGGGGGTGGGTCTAGAATTCTACCTTGCAGGCAAGTAAGAGATGATTCAAATGAAGTCACAAAGATCCCTCTTGGATCTGGGGGTCTAGAGATGTTTAGCTTGGCATTCTCTTTCAAGGACACTACAGTTCGTGAAATTTCCGTGTTCTTCTAAGGTGGTCCTCTAGGGGCCAGAGAACAGAGAGAGGGCACATGTGCTGCCGTGGGGGTGCTGGCCAGAAAGGCCTCCCCGTGGAGGGCCCCACCATTTGGGAAAGATGGACAGCTACTAGGCAGCCCCGCCCCAGTCCACTGACTCATAAAAACTTCAAGCCTTGCGGAAAAATCAAAGGGAAAGCAAAAAATAACCCTGTATCCTGCTGTTCAGAGCCCAGCGGGCTGTGGACACATGACGGACGTTTCTGCCCCTGGGCTCCTCTGTGGGACGCTTTTCCTCTCCTGTGACTCTCTGTGTTCTGGAGACACCTCTACTACCTCCCTCCTCCTGCTCCCTCGCTCTCATTGCGTGTGGCGCTGGGGGCTCCCCACGCCTGGCAGGAGAGTCGCGCCGGGCCTCCTTTCCCTGAGCCTCCCGGCCAGATGAGAGGACAGACTGGAGCCCACCAAGCGCCTCAGATTTCACTCCCTTCACCTGACTCCTGATGTGAGGCTGTTCCCATGGGCATCTGTCACTCAGAGGCCTCCTCAGCTTCATCCTTTACTCTTTGGGATGAGAAGGGGGTGCTGCTGCCGCCCAAGTGGTCCTCATACTTCTGGGCTTGATTGCTTCACACTTCTCCTTGCAAAACAGTTTTATTCTGGGGGGAGGGTATAGCTCAAGTGGTAGAGCCCATGCTTAGCATGCATGAGGTCCTGGGTTCAATCCCCAGTACCTCCTCTAACAGTAAATAAGTAAACCTAATCATCTCCTCCCACCAAAAAATAAATGAGTGAATAAATAAATAAATAAAATTTAAAAAAAACAGTTTTATTCTAAGCTCATCTCTTCTATGAGGAATCTTGTCCAAAGCAGCCAGCAACAGAGGGAGGGGATAGCTCAGTGGTGGAGCACGTGCTTAGCAGGCACGTGGTCCTGGGTTCAATCCCCAGCACCTCCATCAAAACAAACACAAAGCAGCCAGTGGGAGCTGGGACCCGCTGCAGGCTCTGTTTTCTTACCTCAACTCCTAGAGCTCCAGGAGCTTCCCATCCACCCTGGAGGCCAGGCCACGCCTGGGGACACTATCAGCCAGCCCCAGCTCCTGTGGCTGCTGCCTCGGGCCACCCCTTCGTCTTTAGTTTGATTGTTGCGGGTGGCTCGCACCTCTGTCCCAGCTTCTGAATCAGCCAGGACAGGTTAGGCCTTCAGTAACTCGGTTCCTGGTTTCTAGTAACAGAAGTTTGTTTCTCACTCAGGCCCAAGGACTCTCTCCTGGGACTCAGGCTAACAAGGCGCCCTTCTAGCTCTTAAAAGCTGCAGAGCCCCCCAAGTCCTGCTGTGACTGGCCGTGTCACCAGCACCCTGCCCGTCACACATTTTTTTAACGTGTTTATTGTGTCTGCTTCCCTACAGTAAACCACACGTGTTTCAGGTGTACACTTTGATGAATTCTGATAGATGTAGACACCCACGAAAACACCACCATGATCAGGACAGCTGACATTTCCATCACTCCCCAAGAGGTGCAGCTTTTGAACTCCCGATTTATCCCTTTCCACCCCCTTGCCCCTTTGGTAACCATAAGTTTGTTCCCTAAGTCTGAGTCTGTCTCTATTTTGTAGATAAGTTCATTTGTGTCTTTTTTTTTAAGATTCCACAGATGAGTGATCTCATAGGGTATTTTTCTTTCTGTCTAGCTTACTTCACTTAGATCGACAATCTCCAGGCCCCTCCATGTTGCTGCAGATGGCGTTATTTCACTCCTTTTCATGGCTGAGTAGTGTTCCATTGTATGTAAATATACTACAACGTCTTTTATCTAGTCATGTTTGGGTTGTTTCCATGTCTTAAGCCCATCATACTTTATAGTTTTCACTGTGATTTCTTCTTTGACCCACGAGTTATTATAAAAAGTATTTCACAACTTCTAAGTATATGGGTATCTCTGCTTATATTTATGTTATTTGCTTTTCGGCTTAATTCAGCTCTTTTCAGGGAGTGTACTCTTTATGATCTCGATTGTGTGATGTTTGCTAAAATGTGCATTGTTGCTCAGCATACAGTCAGCTTTGGTGAGTCCGCGTGTACTCAAGAAGAAAGTGTCTCCTGCAGTCCCAGCTCGGCACCCTCAGGCATCCGCTGTCTGGAGTTTGCCAGCCGTGCCCTGGAAGTGCTCTGCGCCCTCCTGACTGACCTATTCGGTCCGACAGTTACTGGGCAGGATGCGCTGAAGTCTCCAGCTATGACTGAAGACGTGCCTGTTTCTCTTCACGGTTTTGTTTGATACATTATGAACCCTATTACTAGATACATAGTTTTGTCAGAGCTACATAAGCTTGGTGAATTCTACCTCTTGTTATCATTGTGAAATACTTGTTCAAGTCTGGTAGTGCTTATTCCTTCCGTTTACTTTGTCTGGTATTAAAATAACATTGCCAGCTTCGTGTTAATTCATTCCTGAGTGACGTGTATTCTGCCGCACTGTTTCTGCAGCCTTATTCTGAAGACGTGCTTCTTAAAAGCAGCCCGCCGTCTCACAGCTGCCGCCGGCCTCGCCTGCCCGGGGCCCTTCCGCGCACGGGCGTCGCCAGGCGCGGGTCTGTGTTTCAGCTTGCTTGCGTCGCCTTTCTACGCTCCTTTTTTGGCCTTTTTCGGTCCGTTAGAGCGTCTTTATTATCCCGGTGCCCCC